ATAGATAGATAGATAGATAGATAGATAGATAGATAGATAGATAAATTGGGCTGTACCTTAACTGTGCCTTCGACTTCCACAAACCAGCGTCTCAGCATTGCCTGAATCTGGCCATCGGTGAGTTCAGGATTTGCCGTGTGGATCTTTTTCTTGACCAAGTTCTCCAGAAGAAGACGCCGTATTCTCCAGTAGAAGAACGAACGGGAGGTTCTCCATTCTAGCACATCCTGGGTGCAAACAAGGACGGGAAGAAGAGCGCAGAGAACGGAGTTCACAATGATAGCAAAGAACCAAGGCCACAAGTCCCATCTGACCCACAGGAGAGCCAGAAAAAAATATTTTGCAGTTGACGATAAAGGTGCGACTTCCTTAACTAAAACAAAGGAACCAAGATCAGAGGATGTTTTATAGCATGAAGAGCTGATGTGTGTGTGTGTGTGTGTGTGTGTGTGTGTGTGAAGCCCCCATTCGTTGCACCGTTATCTCTCCAACATGACTAGAGATTTACTCTTAATCTACATTATGGATGCTCCTTTTTCAAGACACAGCTAATCTCCCGTCAAAACAATGGGATGTTTATCATGTATTCATTTTCACTTATCGCCAAGCCACCTTGGAGGCCCGAGAGGCCAAATGTAAATATTTGAGATCGATAAATAAATCTGGGCACACACAGGCCAAATTGCTTTTTCTTCTTCTTCTCCTGAGTGAAAATTACTACATGGTGTGTTTTTCTGACAAGAACTCTTGAGTTTCTCAGGCAATCATGTATTTATGATGAGGGACTGTCTCCTCCTCCTCCTCTTTCCATAAAATGGTTTGATGGGGAAAGAGCCGAAAGGAGAGCAATTAACACCCTTGTAACCATGTTTGTGAGCCCTGTTTGGGCCATGAGCAATTTTATCTCAAGTTGATGTAGAAACACAGTGTGACAGTGCCTTGTGTGGACTTTTTTTTTGGCTTCTTAACATACACTCTCTAGGACAGGGGTGTGTAACTATGGCAACTTTACAACTTGTAGACTTCAATTCCCAGAATTCCCAAGTCAGCCATGTTGGCTCAGGAATTCTGGGAATTTAAGTCCACAGGTCATAAAGTTGCCCATGCCTGCTCTAGAAGAACAGAAGGATGGGATTGGAAGGGACCTTTGAGGTCCTCTAGTCTTACCCCCAACTTAGCACAGGATTCTTCAGACCATTCCAGAAAAGTGGATGTCCAATTTTCTCACAGAAACCTTGACTGATTGGAGCCTTTAGAAGCTCTTTTGAATAAATCCACTTTTATAGAGAGAGCCTGTTTGGCCTAGTGGTGAAGGCACCAGACTAAAAACCAGGAGGCTGTGAGTTCTAGTTCTGCCTTAATCTTAAAAGCCGACTGGGTGATTTTGGATCACTCTCTCTCTCTCTCTCTCAGCCTAGCTCGCCTCACAGGGTTGTTGTTGTGGGGGAAATCGGAGGAAGAAGTTGTATCGAAATTTTCCCCACCTTGAATTGTTTATTAAAAATAAAGGCGGGACACTTTTATTGTTTTTAGAAATGTTTAATTTTTACGGTTGTACTGCTTTTTAATGTTGTAAGCAGCCCAGAGACAGCATACTAAAAAGCAGAGACATCGCCCTGCCAACAAAAGTGCGTATAGTCAAGGGTCTGGTTTTCCCAGTTGCAATGCATGGCTGTGAAAGTTGGACCCTAAGGAAGGCTGAGCGCCAAAGAATTGAGGCCTTTGAACTCTGGTGCTGGAGAAGACTCTCTTGGCGAGTCCCTTGGACTGCAAGGCCATCCAACCGGTCAGTCCTGGAGGAGATCAACCCTGACTGCTCTTTAGAAGGCCAGATCCTGAAGAAGAAACTCAAAGACTTTGGCCACCTCATGAGAAGGAAGGACCCACTGGAGAAGAGCCTAATGCTGGGAACGACTGAGAAGAAAAGAAGAAGGGGATGGCAGAGAATGAGGTGGCTGAATGGAGTCACTGAAGCAGTCGGTGTGACCTTAAATGGACTCCGGGAGATGGTAGAGGACAGGAAGGCCTGGAGGAACGTTGTCCATGGGGTCACGATGGGTCGGACACGACTTTGCAACTAACAACAAACAACAAAGCTGCCCAGGATAGCTTTGAAGCGAGAGGGTAGGCAAACAAATGCAATGAATGAATGAGTGAATGAATGAATGAATGAATGAATCCATCCATCCATCCATCCATACATACATACATACATTTATTTCTCTCTACCAGTGGTGGGATTCAATTTTTTTTACTACCGGTTCTGTGGGCGTGGCTTTGTGGACATGGCTTTGTGGACATGGTGTGGCCTTATGGGTGTGGCTTTATGGGCGTGGCAGGGGAAGGATATTGTAAAATCTCCATTCCCTCCCCACTCCTGCAGGAAGGTTACTGCAAAATCCCCACTCCCTCCCCACCTCACTAACCTGCTTTCCAGCTCCCTTCTCCTGTGCAGGGCAACCAAAGAAGACCCAGCCAATCAGCTGGGACTCAATGGGAGGCAGAGAATAGATGGGGGCGGGGCCAATCAGAGGCGGGATTTACCGATTCTCTGAACTACTCAAAATTTCCGCAACCGGCTCTCCAGGACTGGTCAGAACCTGCTGAATACCACCTCTGCTCTCTACCCAAGGGGTTTTGCACTCCTTCTAAACATGGCCATCTTTGTTTTCTTTTTTTGGACCCCGCCCCTCATTCTTAATTGCAGAAAAACTCATCATGCCCAAACTTGAAAATGGCCCATGAGAAAGATCAAACCTTTGGAATTACCAATTAATTACCCTGTTTCTCCAACAATACGGCCTCCCCCAATAGGAAGTCCCAGCATGTTTTATAGGCATGAAATGAAATTAAGCCCCTCCCCCCAAATTAAGGCCGATATTAAAACATGCGAAATGGGGGGGAATGGTGGGGGGGCTTGCCGTTAGGAAGTACTTTTGTTGCACACCCGGATATGGTGCTGCCTGCGTTGACCTCGATACAAAGTGCCCCACCAACGCCAAGGTCAACATCCAAGCCGTTGCCGCCCGCCCGAAGATGCAAGGGGGGGGGGAATTAAGTCACCCCCGAAAAGACAGCCTAGCCATTTTTTCGGGGCTCAAAATAAAATAAGACCCAGCCTTATTATATGAGAAACACGGTAGTAACAGAAGGCAAGAATCGAAGAAAATGCCACTTAGTAAAAGAATTTGAGAGACCACACAGGCAGTAACGACCATAAGAAAGCCTGCTTATTGCGGCTAAAAGCTGTGTCTGTCGTAAAACGAGTCACCTTGCTGACCGACCTGATTTTACAAACCCTTTTTTTTTGGTGGTGGTCCTTAGGTGAATCCAGCCAGCCATTAAGGGAAACTCATTGTTCACCGTGGAAGTAAAAGCCGGGTTTGGGTCGTAAATCACAGTCATGTGACCTCGGGACACTGCAAATGGCCATGTTGCTGAGTGGCCAAAATGTGGTCACATGATTAGCGTGGGGGGGGGGGGCAGTTGTCAGAATTTTGGAACCAAGTTGTAAATACATTCTGAGGAGGTCTATTGTAACTTTGAATGGTCACTAAGCTACTAGTTGTAAGCTGAGGACTAATAAAGGAGACTATTTGTAGCTCAGGGTTTAAATGAGGGGTCCTCGCTCTGAGATTGCTTGTTTTCTTGTAGACGTTTCATAACCAGACTAGGTAGCATCATCAGTGCTAGTGACTAGTTAGGGTAATGAAACGTCTGCAAGGAAACAAGCAAGCTCAGAGAGCACCAAGGACCCTTCAAATGGAGGACTATTTGTATATGTTTATTGCTGACAGGAAAGTCCTCGTGGACTTTTTGAGTGAAACAGAAAAAAAACCTGAATGTACAATTTTGACGATTAGACAGAATAGATAATAGAAGAGAGCTATGTTGTAACCACAGAGTAAGAGGTAAACTTACAATGGTAATTATAAGATCTCTAAAATTGGAAGTTACTTTTTATTTTTCTCTCTTTTCTCTTTTTTCCCTTTCTTGAAATTTTAAACTTTCTCTTTCTTCTTTTCTTTTCTTCTTTTCTTATTTTATCTTCGTTCAAATTTCCTTTTTTTAAAAAGATATTTAGTTAAATATCTGGGCATGCTTTTTCCTTCGCTGAAGAGCCCCAACCCAAAACCAACTGAGGGGTTTTTAAAAAGTTATTTTAAAAAGTCACAGTCTCCCCGCTCCAATTTTCCCACACGTGATGGGAAAAGATGGAGCGGAGAGTTTTTTTTTTAAAAAAAGTCAAAATTAGACCCTGTCAAGAGCCAGGTTTCTATTTTTAGAGGACTTCTGCTTAACAAACGATGAAGAAGTCAGAGCTACATTCTCTTGCAACTAAAACCATTTTGCTCAGCAGCATTTGCGTCCCTGTACGCAGCCACAAGCAACACACCATTCCCAGTTCAATTAGATGCGTCAGAATGAGGCTGCTGTTGCCCAGATGGTGGCTTGATAGTCCAACTGTTCAAGGTGAGCGCGCCCAAGCTGGCTTATTGCAAAAGAACCAGTCAGGAAAACAGGCTGTATAGGCCACAGACTCTGTAGGCCAAAATGCTGGCTTACAAGTTGATTTGTCAAACGATTAAAAAGAATGTTTTAAAAATAAGAACAAAAAGATTTCATTACACTGAGAGGGGAAAAACATGATTTGCATGAAACTTAGCAGACTTACAATTCATAGCAGCAGGGCTCACCTTGCACATAGTGTAACCAAAACATGGCAACATATAAGGACCCAGAATCCATCCATCCTTCCTTCCTTCCTTCCTTCCTTCCTTCCTTCCTTCCTTCCTTCCTTCCTTCCTTCCTTCCTTCCTTCCTCACTCCTTCCCTTATTAGTTCTTTCTTTCTTCCTTTCCTGCCCTCTTCTTCCTTCTTTTTTCTTTCTCTTTCCTTCCTTCCTTCTTCCTCCCTCCATCCCTCCTTTATTAGTTCATTCATTCTTTCTTCCTTCCTTTCCTCCCCTCCTTTTCCTTCCTTCCTTCCTTCCTCTTCCCTTCCTTCCTTCTTCCTCCCTCCCTCCCTCCATGAGTCCATTCCTTCTTCCTTTCCTCCCCTCCCTTCCTCTTTCTTTCTTTCTTTCTTTCTTTTTCTTTCTCTCTTTCTTTCTCCTTTCTCCCACTCCTCCCACTTTCTTTGTTTGTTCATTCTTCCCCTTCCTTTTCTCCTCTCCTCCGTCCCCTCTCCTCTCTCTTTCCTCCCTCCCTCCCTTCTTTCCATCCCTCCCTCTCCTCATCTCCCTCTCCTTCCTACCAACAAGCAGAATGGGACAATTGTTTAATCCACATGGAGGACACAAGGACTTCACCAAATTCCTCCTTTCGGTGCTGCCCTGCTCTGCCTTCACACCAAGAGCAGCAGGGATCCCTCAAGAGCTATTAAGGGCCTTCCCTCTAGCCTTTACAAACTTTTAATATTCACCCCACGCTGTCGGCATCATCCAGGCTGGAAGAGGCCTTCCCCCCTCCCCTTCAAAACGCTGCGTTTGGGAAGACCTTCTCAGCAGCAGCTCCGCCAGCCCTGCTGGGCGAAAGCTCCTTTTTGACAGCATTGATCAGGAAAAGATTCCCGACACTTACGGTAATGACACCCTTCTCCTGCATCCGGCCGGGTGTGTCGTGCAAGTCAGCAAACTGCACCGCTACCTGATGGTAAATGGGAATTAGGAATTCTTCCCGCTCCTTCAGCTTGGCCTCCAGATCCTTCCGCTCAGCTGGGTTTAACTCCGGGGTGCCTGAAATCAAAAGTAAAGATGCTTGTCAGGGGCTGGCAGAGAGGCAGGGAAGAGCCATGGAGACAGGAGGGGAAGAGCCCCACTCAGCAGCTTATCTACGGTTCAGACAAGCATTATTTATTTGGGACAATGCATGTACATGTGAACAATTCCACCCTACATAAATGTGCCACTCTGTTTCCCAACACAGACGCCTCAAGAGAGTATGAGGGGAGAAAGAATAGAATAGAATAGAAAATAGAATAGAATAGAAAATAGAGTAGAGTAGAGTAGAGTAGAGTAGAATAGAGTAGAATAGAATAGAATAGAATAGAATAGAATAGAATAGAATAGAATA